GTTGTAATAATGCGAATGACCCCTTTCTCCTTCAGGATACATTCAATGTTCTGGAAGCATTCCTTTCAGCCGAGGTCACAGTGCTATTCATCCGCCACCCTACACAGCGTCCCCCTGCCCTCACTAGTACAACCCCGACACTTATTCAGGAAGCATGTCACGTAAAACGCGCCCCGCTACAAACACCGCGTCCAAATGAGGGGGTCAAAGTCCAGCCCTCTGATTGGTTCCCTGAGCTGTAAGGCAAGACAGCCTATTTTACAAGGTGGATAAATCAGGCAGGGCCTGAGGTCACATGTCAGTACCCAAGCAAAGTAAACCCTTGTGGCTTCCACATTCCCAGGCTACAGCTTCCCTATAAAACACACAAAAGAGCAACATAACACAGGACTGAAGAACTGAGTGGATTCCTAGGAACGGAAAAAAAACATCCACCTCCTTTACCCTTGAAGGTATGCCCTTGAAGTGAAAGGAAAGACTGGTGATCCTGTTTCTGGTTGTTTATCCCTGAACCCAATAATCAATAGGCTTGTGGTGGGACCTCTCCTGAAAAACAAGCCTGACTCCCAATGGGGGTCAAAGGTGCTCCCAATGGCATGACAAGCAGGAACAACCAGAGGCATTATCGCCAGCTAATTTCCCACCAATTGTGGCAGGGTTGGGATTTTAAAAAATAACGCTTATAATATGTCAATAATTTTAGAAAGCAAAATATGATTACGCCTTGCTTCTTTAAGTGTAAAAAAAAGGCTTAGTCTTTTCACTAAATGTCCACAGTACTGGTCTACAAACATATTTTTCTTGTCAATAATGTTTACAAGAATTGGTCACTGCACAACAAGCCTCAACAAAATGATAGGCAGGTATGAAGTATATATAGTAGAAACAAAGCTGGAAATTGGAAGGATATTACAGTATCCTACTACTAATCTCTTCAAGCAAAACAATATAATCCCCCTGTACAAACAAAATCAATTCAAAGCAACAAGGACTCAAGGACATCTCCGGTTCCAAAATCAAAAAAACGTTTGGCTTTGAAGCTTATTTTACCTTCCACTGATTGAACAGGTTTCTGTGTCAAGTACAGCTTGTTCCGATTAGATTATCATTTGAAAAACACTGATAGATAAACTAATTTTACATGTACTGAAAAAAAGAATGTTTTACTTTTATTTTAGAAGAAATAGAAGAATGACTACTTCTTGTTTCCTGTACCTGACAACCGAATGTTTAAACCTCCTACATGTACCCTTAGTTACATTTTACATCGTCCACAATACAGTTGTACTTCTTAGTGGCCAGCTTTATTTGTTTAGCACACCTTGTGTTAGCACAGCTTTCAAGGTAAACACCATTTGACCCCATTCCCACAGCCCCTCCCTTTCCCTTTATCACAACCTTAGAACTGTGTGTGAGCTTTCAAAATTCATCAAACAAAAGCTGTAAAAAAACAACTAGGATCCTAGATGAAAACCAAGGAAACCAAGCAACTATAAATGCTTAGTTATTAGAAGCAATTGCACAGAAGTACTATTATGGCATGTCTTATAAGCATAGTCTGAAATTTTATTAGCTATAAAAAGAACCTTCTAGCATAATATGGTCACATAATCAAGTCATTGATGCAAACTTCCATATTCACTACCACACATGCATTAAATGTCTTTCAAAGGATCCCAAAATGAAAGAACCTACAAACATATCTTGGGCCCTTTTATGTTTTTAAGTTATGGACTCAACCATAATAACAGTCCCTCAACCAGCCAAATTAAGATTGATGATGGATGTTCCATTATCATTGATAGAATGACAGCCTTCAGCACAAAGGATGACCCACCTACTATCATTTAGATGGTTGTCTATCCAATCAACCAATCAGTACAACTGTTTAAGGACTGTAGGTCGAATTTCAATTTCAAAGCAGCATTTTCACAATCCATTGTTCAAACAAATACATTATTTTCCATATCCATGTAACTCCACACCCATCCAAATCATATAGTACAATGATGGTCATAATAGGGGTAAACTGAATGACCAGGAAATGATTGCACTGTTGTTTTTATGTGAAAATTCATTAGAGCGAAAGACCATATTAGCATTATTTACATGTATACAGTTTGGGTAGAATGTCTGTCTCGAACTAGTCTACCTCTCCTGCATTTGTTTACCAACAGTTACTGGTAAATAGTTACAATTATCTAAGTTGCAACCCTATTTTTGATACAATCAATATTCTAACCTAAAAATCTAAAATCCATTTCAATATTCTGAATATTCATTTAGCTATCTGAATAAAGTAAACATACACTAGTCCTGTATCACATTTCAGTCTGCCTCCAAAAAAAGGCACAATCCTTGGCATGCCAACCAAAATGCCACGACTTTAAATGGTGTATGAGAGATTACAACCTTGTTTTGAATGAAGTAGTCCACACAGTGGGTTCCTTGATACATTAGTTTGTATTTGATCAATATTTTTGCAAAAATATAATCCTAAAACAATCCCACAGTGAAATGTGACAACTACCCCAAAAATAATTTTTCTCCTGTCACTTCTGAATTTGAATAAACATTTTTACCCAATAATGATCTGCATTAACTGTTTGAAGTACAGTCAAACCTGTCCGTCCAACCAACTGTTTAGGGCAACCAACTGTTATCAACAACCACATTCAAACAGTCCCGTGCCATTTTACATAGTAAGGACCCCCTTCCAGGCAACCAACTGTAAAACGCAACCAGCGGCCACTTTCTTGTGGTCCCTACGGGGCACGGACACCCTAGTCAACAACCAGATGATGGTATAAGGGCAAGCGATCTAGATCTTGGTGCGTCGGCACAACGCACATGTGTTTGGAACGACACGACCAGAGTAATATTATGCTTCAATAAAAGAAACTGATAATTGTACAAATATAGTTTTACTAATATAATTTCGAAAACAAATTGAGATTATATCATAATTTCTGCATGCTGTGCACTGACCGACAAAAAATCTAGCGGGCCCGATTCTCACGCCGTCTGCACACACACGTACCGCGCTTGCGACAAGAATAACACATTGTAATTTGAGAAAGCATACGGTTAAAACATGGGAATATTGTGCATATCCACAAATATTTTTATAGAAAACACAATCGCTGGGATCTAAAATGTTGTCCTGGGTTTTATTTAGCGGGCGTT